AGCTTCTCCCTATAACTCAAACCCCCCAGTCCCATTTGAAGAGAATAGTTGGGATTAATCTCACACAAATATGTAAACTAAAGTAAACCCCCAGTTCATTGACAAAGCCATGATCATGCTGTACTCAATAGCAGCTAGATATTTTTAAATATATCCATCTATGTGTGTATGTTTATCTCATCTTAAAAGTATTGTGTACAATGTGTACTTCTTATAAATATCAGACTCAGCTCCTGCTTCACTTTCCCCAGCATCCATTCTCAATCACATCTCCACTGTGGTGAAACTCTTCAACATGAGCAATGGCACGGGAGGTCACGCTGCAGTTCCTTTGCATTTCGGAGTGTGAAAGATGTTCCAACATGGGAGAAGGCAGGGCAACCACTTCCTGATTGGTTTTCCCGTCCTAGTCCTCGGCATCAGAGCAATGCATTTTGCACTTGGCCAATTGGTTTTCTCAGTCCAACAGGAACCGACTTCAGAGTGAGTCACTTCTCTACAAGAAATAGCTGGGCATTGATCGTGAGGGGACAGGTCATGAGAAATACATCTCCATTTTAGCCAGGCTGGATCAGTCTGATGGATCAGTTGTTAATTTTAAATCTGAGATACATCATTTCTACTAAGCAAAACTATTAAGGGATCTGGGCCAAAGGAAAGTATATGGAGTTAGGTCACAGGTCAGCCATGATCTCATTGAATAGCAGAACAGCCTCAAAGGCCTGAATGGCCTATTCCTATTGCTATGTCCTGTGTTCCTTTGTTCCAAGCATTGATGCCTCAGGCCCCAGTTTAAACCAAGAACAATACTACAAGACAAAAACTGGTTATTAATTAAACATTTCTATTGAGTATGGTTGTGATTGGGAAAATGTTCTTTTCTGAGATGGTCTTGATGCATATGTTTTGAGAATGCTTATAGATGTCACTTGCGTTGGGAATGAAGGATCCAAGGTTTTATTAGGGTTTTGTTTATTAAAAGCAGAGGGAGGGAGACAGACAGATAGAGACAGACAGAGAGAGACAGAGAGAGAGAGAGAGATAGCAAACAATAGAGGAGGAAACAGTGTATTGTCATAATTTAGAAAATGCATCAGCTAATTTATACAAAGCAAGATCCCACAAAAGACCAATGTGTTGATGGCCAGAGAGAGTGGTTGGAACCTGCTAGGGCAGTGGTCAGAAATCTGGGACAACCCTGTGAGAAGATGAGGGAGGTCTTTCTTGATGTTTGAGGCTTTGTGATGAGATTCTCACTTGGGAGCAGTAAGCTGCCTTTATTGCCCTCATTAACATGGAATCTCACCTGATTACCATGCAGTCTCCCAATCTCCCTCCCACTGGATAGAAAGTAGACGCTGGATATTCCCGACGTGGAAGTTAGAGCAGGTACCTGGTGACTCCAGCTCACAGCTCGCACCTCTACACCTTGGTCTGAGACACCAGTCACCACCCTCCCAGGGCACATTTACAGGCAGAAGCCCCACACAAACCACTGCCCCCCTCACCCACCATGATTCTCGTCATGTGTGCTCACTAACACCAACATGAGGGTGGATTGATGATGGCAGCTGGTTCACAGCTATCCTGCATAGAGGGTAACTTGTCTACTCCACTGAATCAGCCCCTCAGACCAATCCCAGTCTCACAGCCTGACACCTTCATCTGACCAATAAGAGCACGCTTCCAGCTCGATCCTCCAGCTGGTAAATTAAATCACGGCTCATGGCTGATCCACATCATTTGCCGAATACACTTGCCGAACAAATAATCTGTCACACTCTGTCTGAAAATTTTCTTTCACTCACCCAGTAGACTCAAACCTTAATGACTTGCCTCCATGTAAGTGCTTACTTTCCAAATAAATTCCTTTCCAGCCCCTCTCTTTCTCACCCTAACAGCATATCCTCCCATGCCTCACTCCCTCATGTGTTTATCCAAATACTCCTTCAATGAACTGACCACTTCCTATGTGAGTCACAGGCACATTCTCATAGAATCCCTACAGCGTGAGAGCAGGCCATTCGGCCCATTGAGTCCACACTGCCCCTCTGAAGGGCATCCAACCCAGACCCAATCCCTGTATTTCCTATTGGCTAGCCCACCTGAACTGCATATCCCTTGACACAATGAGCAATTTAGCATGGCCAATCCAGGTAGACTGCATGTACCTGAACTGTGGGAGGGAACTGGCCCACCTGGAGTAAACCTGGACAGGCAGTCCCCTGAGGCTGGAATTGAACCCAGGTCCCTTGTGCTGTGAGGTAGCAGTGCTAACCACTGAGCCACCGTGCTGCCCCCATTCACAATCCGTACAGAACCTTGTCCTGAATTCCTGATTGCATTTCTAAACTATTCATTCACAAGATTTGGGGGTTGCTGCCTGAGCCAGCATTTATTGCCCATCCCTAGTTGCCCCTTGAGAAGGTGGTGGTGACCATGTGCAGCAGGTTGACCCACAATGCTCTTAGGGAGGGAATTCCAGGAATTTGACCCAGTGACAGTGAAGGAACAACGATATATTTCCAAGTCAGGATGGTGAGTGGCTTGGAGGGGAACCTTGTTACTGAGTATCTTAGGTTCGTGAACCATCTCGGAAACATGCTCCATGTATCTTCCCTCTCAAACCGTTTTATAATTTTCCCGGCTGCCCTCTGATCTCTCTTTTCCTCAGCTCCAGCCTCTTCAGTCTTTCTTGAAAGGTATAATCCCTCCATTCTGGTATTATCCCAATGAAACCTTTTGACAGCTGCTCCAGTGTCTTAATATATCTGTGTAATTGTGGAGTTGGGAAGCCAACCCCATGCTATATCTGTCTGGAGGTATTTGACAGGGATAGTGTCAAGGAGGCTTCACTCTGTATCTAACTCCATGCTTTACCTGACCTGGGAGTATTTGATAAAGACATTGTATAAACAACAAAGAGCAGTACCAAACAGGAACAGGCCCTTCAGCCCACGAAGACTGTGCTGACACATGATGCCTTTCTAAATCAAAAACCTTCTGCCTCTATGCAGTCCGTATCCCTCTATTCCCTGCCTATCCATGTATCTGTCAAGGTGCCTCTTAAACGTTGCTATTGTATCCTCCCCCTCCTCCTCTGGCAGCTCATTCAGGTACTCACAACACTCTGTGTAAAAAAAAACCTGCCTCTCCCATCTCCCTTAAACTTATCTCCTCTTACCTTAAACAAATGACCCCTAGTAATTGACATTTCTACCCTGAGAAAAAGACTTCGACTATCCATTCTATCCACACCTCTCATCATTTTGTAAACTTCTACCAGGTCATCCCTTATCTTTCAACGTTCAACTGTAAACAAAGCAAGTTTGTTCAATCTCTTCCTCATTGCTAATGGCCTCCAAACCAGGCAACATCCTGGTAAATCTTTTCTGTACCCTCTCCAAAACATCCACATCCTTCTGGTAGTGTGGTGACCAGAACTGTACATAATATTCTAAATGTGTCCCAATTAAAGTCCTATACAGCTGCAACATGACTTGCCAATTTTTATACACTATGCCCCGGCCGATGAAGGTAGGCAAGCCATATGCCTTCTTGACCATCTTATCCACTTGTGTTGCCACTTTCGGGGAACTGTGGACCTGTACGCGTAGATCCTCTGTATGTTGATGCTACTGAGGGATCTGCCATTTACTGTCTACCTCCCTCCTGCATTAGATCTCCCAAAATGCATCACTTCACATTTTTTCTAGATTAAACTCCATCTGCCATTTCTCTGCCCAACTCTGCAGACTATCTTTAGCTTGCTGTATCTTCTCGCCATCCTCCTCATTATCCACAGCTTCCCCTGTCTTTGTGTCATCTGCAGACCTACTAATCAGGCCACCTTCTATTCATTTCTATATATTACAGACAATAGGGGTCCCAGCACTGATCCCTATGGAACACCGCTGGTCATAGATGTCCAGTCAGAAAAATACCCTTCCAGTGCTAACCTCTGTCTTCTATGGCTAAGCCAGTTCTATATCCATCTTACCAGCTCACCACAGTTCGCATGTGACTTCAGCTTTTATATTAGCTTGCCATGAGGGATCTTGTGAAATGCCTTGATAAAGTCCATATATAGACAACATGTCCCACCCTGCCCTCATCAATCATCTTTGTCACTTCCTCAAAAAACTGAATCAGGTTTGTGAGACACAAACTACCCCGCACAAAGCCATGCTGCCTACCGCTAATAAGTCTATTTTATTTTCAAATGTGAGTAAGACCCTGTTGCTCCTTATATTCGTATAAAATGCCTTGGGATTTTCCTTAATCCTATTTGCCAAAGATATTTCATAGCTCCTTTTAGTCCTCCTAATTCCTTGTTTGAGTTCTTTCTTGGTATCTTTGTATTCTTCGAGGGCTCTGTCTGTCATCAGTTTCTTAAAACTTACATTTGCTTTTTTCTCTTTTTGACTAAACTTTCAATTTCTCTTGTCATCCAATGTTCCAGAATCTTGCCATCCTTATCCTTCATTTTGACAGGAACACGCTAGTTCCAAATTCTAACCAACTGGCCTTTAAAAGATTCCCACATGCCGGATGTGGATTTACCCTCAAACAGCTGCCCCCAATCTACGTTCCCCCAGCTCCTGCCTAGTATTGTGGTTGTTAGCATTCCCACAATTTAGTACTTTCACCTCAGAACTACTCTTATCCTTATCCATAAGTTACTTAAAACTTACAGAATTATGGTCACTGTTCCCAAAATACTCCCCCACTGAAACTTCGATCATCTGGTTGGGGTCATTTCTCAGTACAAGGTCTGGCATGGTCACTTCCGTAGTTGGATTATTTACATACGTTTTCAGAGACTATGGCCAGTGAGACTCAGAAGAAGAACAGAAAGGGAGAGGTTACTGAACATGGAAGGACTGGCAGTCTATTTTAATGCACAGAATATGATAGGGATGGATTAATCACGTTCAGTGTTACAGTGCTTTATGGTGTCGGATTTAGAAGTTGCAATTTAAAAGGATGTTATCACCCACCTGATAAACCTCCCACATCCATTTTCTTCAGGTTCTTTGCTTCCAGAATGACGACTGTTAATTTTCCAGCTGTTGGGACATAGCGAAGAGAGAAGCAAATGTCGCCCAACTTCTCCTGCTGAGAGCGCAAACAAACAGGTAGGCACAGATTTTAGGATCACATCAATAAACCATGGATCCATTCCATCGCTTCACCGCAACAATTACACTGAATCCTGATCACCCACCAGCCCCTGTGCTCGTTAATCCACACAGACCCCTGGCTATGTCGCTTCAATTTGGTTTTCTTCTGGATGGATCTTTGGGATCTGTCTGTGGCAGGGACTTCTGAAACTGAATGCTGGGAATGGTGTGGGATGCCGATCGCTGTGGGTGGACCCTGGGAGAGGCTGTGCAGCTTCAAGGGAACATTGGCTCCAGGTCCACACATCTCGATTTTAACAACAGGCTCATCCCTGCTTTCTAAACCTTCCACAGCCTTGCCAATCCCCACACCCCATTGTGTCCTCCTGTCTGACCATCCTCCAGGATCTGTGCGCACTCCCACACGTGGCCACTTCTCACCACACACTGTATCTGAGTAGAGAGCTCATTTTCATCTCTCTCTCTCTCTCTGAAGCAGATGATTGTGCGTTAAGTTCTACTCCAGACATTTGACTGTGACTGGCACCTACCAGGGGGGCGATGGGTGACCTGTGTGGGATCTGTTAGTTGTTCCCCCAAAAATACATCAGGGCAGTGCCCAATACCACTGGTGCAGGATCACACTGGGTCATTCCATTACCCCAGGGTGAGGTCAGTGCTGGAGCCTGGGCATGTGGAATTCAGGAACAGATTCTGGGAAATTTGATAGATGTGAATTATTCCTGTCATGGCCAGTGATAGAATTGGGTGAGCATCGAATGAGAGGGGAGCCATGGGATAGGGTAGGTAGTTAATTAGGCAAATTAGGGATGATATGGCAAGAAATCTCACAAGGTCTCATGGGGAGAAACCCCCTGTGAAACCCAATAAAATTGACACAAAGTCAGAATATCACAAGCTTCAGCTCAGAATTTCTGATGGCAAAGGCCTCAAACCTAACAGCCAGCTCCCGGTCTAAAGGGCAACAGCTTCCCTTCCCTCTCTCCTCCCCGTCCCCATCCCTCTCTCCTCCCCCATCCCCCTCCTGTATACATCAGAGACTTGGACAACAGCAAACTCAAATTCCTGGAGAAACATCACCTCCACAGAATCCTGCAAATCCATTGTCAGGATCATAGAAACATAGCAAATAGGAACAGGAGGAGGAGGCCATTCGGCCCTTCAAGCCTGCTTTGTCATTCAATATGATCATGGCTGATTATCCTATTCAGTCCCCTGTTCCTGCTTTCACCTCCATGCCCTTTGATCTCTTTAGCCCTGAGAACTATCTCTAGCTCTAAGTTGAACAAATTCAATGTTTTGGCCTCAGTTGCTTTCTGTGGCAGAGAATTCCACAGGCTGCCCACTCTCTGGGCGAAGACATTTCTCTTCATCTCAGTCCTTATATGACTTACGCCATATCATTCTGCTCCATACCTGCTTCATTCTCTCTATTTCTTTCTCTCTTACCCTTTCTAGCATTCCTTCTTTCATTTTCCCTCTCCCTTTCTCTACGTAACATTCATACTTTCCTCTTTCCTTCTATCATATGTTATCATGCTCTCCTTCCCTGACTTATCTCCTTTTCTCTCTCTCACCGCCCCCCCATCTTCCTCTCCCTCTCTCTTTCCCTCTCTATCTACTTTTCTCTCTTTTCCCATCCATCTCCCTTTCTCTTTTACACTATATTTCTCCCCTAAATCCCTAACTCTCTTGCAGTCCATCACAATGCTGCAGCGGCCTCTCTCATTGGCTTTTGTCATGGCATTCAGTCCCGGCTGCTAATATTTTTCAACGTCTCACCAGACCTGTGCAAGCTCGTGCATGAAAAAGATTAATTTTTATCAAAGCTGCACACTGATAATACTGCCCGTGATAGCAAAGATGTGATTGGAGCTGTGCCCTGGCAGGGTGTGTTGACTGATTGAACACAGTGGTTTTAAAAATGCAAAACAAAATTCAATCTGAGAGGCTTATTAATAATAGGACAAAAAAAACAAGTCAATGGGCTTGTCTTTATGTTCCTGTCAGAGGATTCCAGCAAAATTTCACTGTTATTCTCAAACAATACAGGATCTCATTAGTGGCCTCTTGTTAAGAATTTAGAGTCAGAGCCATACAGCATGGAAACAGACCCTTCAGCCCAAGTCGTCCATGCCTACAAAAAAAAAGTTGCTGGAAAAGCTCAGCAGGTCTGGTAGCATCTGTGAAGGAAAAAACAGAGTTAATGTTTCGGGTCCGGTAACCCTTCCTCAAAATGCAGATTTTTTTCTTCACAGATGCTGCCAGACCTGCTGAGCTTTTCCAGCAACTTCTGTTTTTGTTCCTGATCCACAGCATCCGCAGTTTTTTCGGTTTTTATCGTCCATGCCAACTACGTTTCCTAAACTGAACTAGCCCTATTTGCCTGCATTTGGCCCATATCCCTCTAAACCTTTCCTATACATGTATCTATCCAAATGTCTTTTAAATGTTGTAATTGTACCAACCTCCACCACTTCCTCTGGCAGTTCACTCCATATATGCTCTATCCTCTGGGTGAAAACGTTATCTCTCAGGTCCCTTTTATATCGTTCCCTTTCACCTTAAACCTATATCTTCTAGTTTTGGACTCCGCTATCCTGGGGAACAGACCTCATCTATGCCCCTCATGATTTTATAAACATCTATGAGAAGCAGTCTTGTGAATAGCCTCTTTGAAGACGTAAAATAACAATGTCAGGGCACAGCAAACAAAAGCTGCCAGCTGTTTGGCGACAAGTTCCGAGAAATTCTCCCAACTCCTCGATATAATCCGAGGAGACAGTGATCTTTATTCTCCGCTGGTCACACTTAATAGTAACAACACTACAGCCCCACTGTTGCAGCAAACACAGGACTGGACAAGATCAGAAATTGATGTAAAGGTCACAGATTTCACACCACACTGTCTGACTGTATTACAATAATATTGCACAATTGCTGAAACATAGAAACTAGGAGCAGGGGTAGGCCATTTGAGTCTGTTCCACTATTCAGTATGATCATGACTATTCATCCAACTCAGACCCCCATTCCCACTTTCCTCCCCATACCCTTTAGCCCTAAGAACTCTATCTAACTCCTTCTCGGACAACACTTACTGTTCTGGCAAAGAATTCCACACTCACCACTCTCTAGGTGAAGAAATATCTACTGTAATTTTTTGTAGCAGTTTTACAACATTTAGGACACTGCATTAGTGCAAACTGTTGTTATAAAATTTCACCATTTTTTTTTATAAAGCTAAGGACACAAAGACATTGGAAATAGGAGCAGGATTAGGCCATTCAGCCCCTCGAGCCTGTTCGACCATTCAATATGATCATGGCTGTTACGATTGTGTTTCAAATTCCACATTCCCATCTATCCCAATAACCTTCAATTCCTGACCTCACAACAGTTGATCCGTCTTTAAAATTTTCAATGACCCTGTTTTGACTACCTTCTCAGGCAGGGGGTTCCAAAGTCACACAACCCTCTGAGGGAAAAAAAGTATCCCCATCTCTGTCCTAATTTTAAACAGTGTTCCCTGGCTCTGGACTGACCCACAAGGGGAAACGTACTTTCCACATCCACCTTGGTCAGACCATTCAGGATCTGATACACTTCGATCAAAACACCCCTCATTCTCAAAACTCCAGTGGAAACAAGCCCAGTCTGTCCAATCTTTCCTCATTAAACACCCCACTCATCCCAGGGATCAATCCAACAAACCTCCCTTAAAACCCCTCCAATACATTTGCACCCTTCCTTAATGAGACCAATGCACACAGTTTCGAGATGTGGTCCCACCAATGCCCAGTAACAGCATTACTTTTACATTCAATTTCACTCATGATAAACAGTAGTATCCCATTAGCCTTCTTTATTACTTTCTGTACCTGAATACTGACATCTTGAGACTCCAAATGTTATTTTTAAAGTCTTATCAACTTATCCAATTACTTCCAAAGTTTGCCACAAAAATACATATTGATCATACCACCAGCCTGTTCCTGAATTGATGATGCAGGTCATGTGACCATTGCACATCCTAACTCAATGGAATTTGTGGTGTAAAATTGAACTGATGCTGTCAAGAACTTAAAACTACTAAAGATCTATGTGCGCATGCGCGCTTGTGTGTGCGCAGGTATGTCTGCACGTGTATATGTGTGTCTGTATGTGCATGAGTGTTTGTGTCTGTGTGTGTTTGTCTGTGTGTGTGTGTGTGTGTGTATGTGTGTGTGTGTGTGAGAGAGAGAGAGAGAGACTGTGTGCATGTGTCTGTGTATGAAAGTGTGTGTGTGTGTATGTGCCCATGTGTGTGAGTGTTTATGTGTATCTGTGTGTTTGTGTGTGTGTGTGTTTAACTGTTCGTGTGTGTGTGTTTTTATGTATCTGTGTGTGTATCTGTCTGTGTGTGTATGTGTATACATGTGTGTGTGTACGTGTCTGTGTGTGTGAGTGCATGCATGTTTGTGGAATTTTTCAGGGCTAGCAAGCAATAAAATTCTCTACCTCTTACTCAAGAAAACCTTGTGAATGGTGGACTAATTAATTATATTTTAAATGGACAGAGATATAGTGTCTTAGCTAGAGAGGAATTTTAAACATTTGTTGTAACAACCCAAGGTGGTTAAAAGGGGGGAGGGGGGGCAATTCACCTGGTGTTAGCCCGGGAAGTGCTGGTTTTCACGTTGTCCTTGCAAAATCCAGAGTAATATGAGACAAATGACTGAGGATTACACCTTCGGAGATTGGAGGAACTGGAGCTGGAAACTATACTCAGATTGGGCACAACAAGATCCCACGTGTTACCTGAGGTAAAGTGAAGGTACTAACCTCCTCTTTCTCGGCCCCTTGCAGGTCCCTCCACTCCTCTGTTACATGGCCAAAGTCCACAGTGTTCATTGGCACTTTCACCTCTCCAATGACATCATGTTTGGAGAATCGGTCAAAGTCGTACACAGCCATCACCAGGGTTTTCCCTCCCAGCTCGGAGTATGGAATCTGAGAAAATCCACAACAGGTCAGCCTGGATGAGAAATTCACATTATACACCCATACAGAATGCATTAAACACAGCAACATTTGTCTACATTCCACCCCAGCTGGCCTACATTGGAGTTTATACTTCATAATGATAATTCTCCCAACCCTGACCCCCACTGTACTACCCCCATTTCCCCACCAACTCCCCCTCACCTCCCCTTCACCTCCTTCTCCACTCCCTCTTAACTCTCCCCATTTCCCCACCAGCTCCCCCCATTCCCGCCCCCCCCACCCCTCCACTGCTATTTCCCTTCCACTGGGGGTACACTGTGTAACGCTGTTCCCTCTGAGTCAGTCCTCCCCCAGGTTCAAGTCCCACCTCAGGTCATAACGGCAATGGAAGGTGTGCCACGAACAGGTTAATTATCAAACCACAAACCCTTCCAATACGGTTACAGTGGGCAGTAATAGTCAGGACTTGCGGGACTGAATGGCCTACTCTACATTCTTATAAGAATTTTTTTGGCCAGACAGAGCTGCGTGGGAGCTACAGTAACAGTTAGAAGACCCAAACACAGGTTCTTGCTGTGAGTAAGGGTCACTGTCATTCTGAGGGACCACCAGATACGCTGAATCTCACTCTACATTCTTCACACAGCTCCATTACCCAGATCCTGAGTATCTAGAGTTCTCATGTAACCAGCATCTGAGATTCAGGATGGTGATTCCGGATGTTTGGGATCTGGATAATTGGGACTTTACTGCATGAGCAATTAGAGGGAAATATTGGATCAGACACTTAATTGAAGCCAGTTCCAGACTGACCGTCTCAATGAGGGTAGAATCACCTACAGTAGCTGGTGACTGGTAGTTACAAATGGTCCTGGTGCTCATTTTTAAAACACACCTTCAGCTTGTGGCAGGGATGATCCAGCCAACGCTGGTATTCCTCAAACACCTGCCCGGTACCAGTAACCAGCATCCTGAAATTTCTACCATTGTGAAGAAAATTCATAGCAGACTCAAAACATTAACTCTGTCTCTCTCTCCACAGAGGCTGCCAGACCTGCTGAGTTTCTCCAGCACTTTCTGTGTCTGTTTCAGGTGAAGAGGGGACGGGAGCGGGTTTGTGTGAAATAGAACTGCCTGCTTGAACCATTTGGAGTGAATGATGTGAGTCTAAGCACAATATTACCACAGTGTAATTGATGTAGCATCCAATCTCAATTACAAGGGGAGGCTCCCGGGGTGGGGTGTGGGCAGGTATTGGAGTATAATTGTCATTTGTGGATTCAGATTTGCTGAGAACCTAAAATAAAATATTACCTTGAAGATGAAGGACTCATTGAAAACTGGATTCAGTGTCTTTCGGTGAACTTTGGTTTCGTACTTTTTCTTCTTGTCGGGCAGTAAGAATACTTTCACGTATGGGTCAGATGTTCCTCCCATGTCGAGAGCTGGGAGCTCAGCAGCTTGAATAATGCCCACAATGAGCTGTTAGTATGACACAAAACAAACAGCTCTCAGCAACAACCTGCATTGATATAGCACCTTTCATTTAATAAAATGTGTCAAGGCACCCCATGTGAACATTATCAGACACAAACTTGCGGGATGCCCTATAAGGGCAAAGTAGGACAAGTGACCCAATCCCTAGCCCATCTCTCCCCTAAATAAACATTCTCTGGTCAGTGCTAGTGTACCACTCCTCTTTCCCCGTTCCTGTCCAGTTGAACAGCCAGATGTGCGACTGATTTGGCTCTGACTCTACTTAAAGATTCATAAAGGTCCACAGTACAGAAAAAGGCCCTTCAGCCCATCAGGTCTGCTCCTCTGAGGTACCATTGCCCTCACCAATCTCCAAACTGGAAAACCAGCTTGTGTGATTATCTCAGGAGATGTCTGCACTCTCTGTCTGGTTCCCTTGGACTGTCTGGTCATTAGCCATTCCTTTTCTGCCTGCACACTCTTAAGTCACAGCATGGCTACTTCCATAAGCTTGCAATCCATTTGTCCTTTGCCTTGTAAATACACAAAAGTAACTTGTGTACTGAGCTCGAGTTGAGCTCGAGTTCTGAACCCTGGAGTACAACCTGGTGCCTTTTCCTTTTCCTGTAAATGTGTCCTTCTGAGACACATAGTGCATCCATGATATCCTTTATTTCTGAAGACATATATCCCCCTCTGCCAAGCTGCCTTGCAATATTTTAACTGGAGGGCTGAGGCCATGTGGAAATAAGGAGGAGCAAGACTCTTGGAGGGATTGAAGCAGAAAGGTGAGAATTTGGAAATCAATGAGTCAATGTAAGTGGGAGATTCACATTGCAGTAAAACGATGTTCAATATTTCTGGGAATGATATTGGAAGCAATTCCTTCAAGTAAGTTCTCTGTGACAGACATTATCCAACTAGACCAATTGTGAATACTTGGAGCTTAGCAACACCAGGGTCAAGCTTTTCAATCAAACATCCCCTCCTGGATATGGAATTAGAGCCTAATCATTGACACAGATTAATGGTTAACAATTTCACCTGGTCAGAAACCAGTGTGACAAAACCAATTCTCAATCATGAATCTGATTGCTTATTAAAATTAATATCATGCTACTCATTGTGAGTGACAGCTGTCTTCACACAAACATTATTGTACATAGAAGTTGACTATCAATGTGAAGGGGCTGGTTAGCTCAGTGAGTTGGACAGCTGTTTTCTGATATAGAGTAGCACCAACAAGATGGGCTCAGTTCCCACACTGGCTGAAGTCACTATGAAGGACTCTCCTTCTCAACCTCTCCCCTTGCCTGAGGTGTGGTGATCCTCAGGTTAAACTCCAACAAGTTGGCTTTTTCTAACGAGAGAGCAGCCCTATGGTGTGGTCAGAGAATGTTAACCTTGTCTTTCCAATGTTTTGGAATACTAACTGCTGATTCATTTAATGACCAATGCTTCCTTGTATTCGGTTTGTTTAAAAATAAATGAAAGTTTGCATGAAAATTAATTGCACTTATTGGTGTATTCCAAATGTCCCTCAATCATTCCGACACTATTTGCGGCACTGAGCTCTATTTTTAAACATGAAACTAATCTGATCTCCAGGATCTTCTGTAAGCCCCAGACACTGCAGACCTTACATGGCGCCTTTCTTCCTTCATAAAATCCTGAAGCGAAATGGCTAGGAGGTTCCTGCTCAAACACAAATGCACTTCATTAATGGACCCATGAGAATGGCATTAACACAAGAGAGTTCAGAACAGACAGGCAAACCCATTTCAAGTACTTTGCAGTACATTCCAGGAGACAGATGAGAGCTGTCAGCTGGCCTGAGTGTTTCTATTATTGTTTGGTCCTGCCGTGGAAAGATCATTTAGTGAGGAAAGTCTATTCACTTTTAGGGCAAGTCAATTAGGAGTTGAATGCGCGAGTTTCCTAAAGACTGTGCTAACACCTTCTTCAATAACATTGTATCGTCTGCTGTTTATCTTTGTTCGTCAGAAAAGGAATTGCAGGTGAATTCAGGGAGACTTTGTGGCCCAGAGTCCAAAATCAAGCAATGAGTGAATACAATGGGAACTGCTTCTTCATCAGGCTTCTGTTCATTGGTTCAGATCCTACCTCACTGGAGAACATTTAGGAAAGTTGTTTATATTCATTGGTGTTTGTGTTATGCAACTTCTGGCTATTATTGTTGGTTTTAAGCTGCCTCTGGGTCAGGGGGTGAGTTGAGGGGAAGAAGCTGGGAGGCTGGCGTGATGGGCTGGATGGGGTCTGCTTGAAACAAGACCCCACATCTTTCAGAAATATCATCTTTCATGGAGGGTAGGGGGAAGAGACCACAGGTAACTAATGCTGCTGGCCTTGGCCAAAACAACACGCTGAAAATGACATTGTCAAACTTAGAATCATAGAATATTACAGTACAGAAGATGAGAATTCACCCCATCATGTTTGTACCATCCTCCAAATGAGTCTCACTCTCCAGCGCTATCTCCGTAGCCCTCTAACTTCATCTGTTTCAAATACACATCGAGCTCTCCTTTGAAACCTCCTATGGAACTCCCCTCCACCTCTCTCCCAGGCAGTGCATTCCAAATCCTAACAACTCTCTGAGTAAAGGAGTTTCTCCCCATCTCACTCTCAGCTCTCTTGCTGACAGTCACATGGAGATCTTCGAGATAGATCGAAAGACCATGGCAGGACTACAGGAATGTTAAAAAAAAACCTTGTTTTCTGTGTCCCCTTCAGTCTGAAGTTGCTGCAAACATGTAGGTTCACTGAGGCGTGCCACGGGGATTCAGGTAAAATCAACTTTGATCAGCCAGACACCGTGATCAGATAGATAAAACGTGCCTCCTCACCCATCAGCTGATGTTTTCTCAAATGGACAATGCTCGAGGGAGGACAATGACAATACAAAGACACCCTATGACATGCTGACACTTGACATTAATGAAGGGGGCGTTGGGGGTGGGCACTGGGGAACAGTCGTTGTATATTGAGCTATGAAGAGGGACTGGATTGGTTAGGACGATAGTCACTGGAGTTTAGAAGAATGAAGGACAATCTCATAGAAACCTGTAAAATTCTATCAGGAGTAGACAGGAAGGATATTGTGGATTACCAGAGAGCCCTGAACCAGGCGTTGCATTTTAAGGAAATGAAATAGACCATTTATGACTGAGATGAGAAATAATTTCTTCAACCAGAGAGTTGGGAGCCTGTGGAATTCTCTGCTGCAGAAAGCAATTGAGATCAAAACATTGAACATTTTCAAGAAGGAGTTAGATATAATTCCTGGGACTAAAGGGACCAAGGGTATGGGGAGAAAGTGGGAACAGGATACTGGATTGGATGGTCAGCCATGATTGTATTGAATGGTGGAGCAGGCTGGAAGGGCTGAATGGCCTACTCCTGATGCTATTTTCTATGTTTGGGTCATAATTGCTGAATGATGACAATGTGGTGGTAGAGAAGAAAAGCCATGATTTGGTCTCCAGATTCCACCACCCTGTGGGACTTTCTGCTCCATGCTCAAAGATCTATGAGTTGGGAATGAGCTGCCAGCAATGTGAAGACCTGTGACAGGAACTCATGAAGATGTGAAGGCGTCAATCTGGAATTGAGGGATGCCCAATTACGATGATGACTGAGGCAGAATACCCAACATACGGTTACCCTGTGCTTGTTAGTGGGTAGGCTGGCTAAAAGCCAGACTGTCCTGTATAAAATCATCCTTCTACCACTCCCCCACACCCTTTGACACATCTGTTCCTAACTATCTATCTAGTGGCATCTTATTGGTTAGGTCTCCACTTGTAGAGATATATAGAATCATAGAATCGAATCATAGAATTCCTGCAGTGTGGAAGTAGGCCATTCAGCCCATTGATCCACACCAACCCTATGAAGAGCATCCCACCCAGACCCACACCCCTACCATATCCCTATAACCCTGCATTTCCCGCGGCTAACCCACCTAGCCTGCACATCCATGGACACTACAGACAATTTTGCATGGCCAATCCACCTAACATTGAGACAACTGATTGGAGACCATAAGGCCATAGAAAATAGGAACAGGAGTAGGCCATTCAGCCCATTGAGCCTGCTCCACCATTCAATAGGTTCATGGCTGATCCAACATTCCTCAGATCTACTTTCCTGCCTTTGCCCATAACCTTGAGTAGATTGTGACAAATCCTGAGGGTGGGATTTGAAAGATTTTCCAGCTCTTCGTTAAGAGGCCAGCACTCAGACCCTTGTTTCGTGTGATGGCCACTTTGGAAAGAAGGCCTGAACAATTTGAGTAGACATTCATCTCTGTAAGGAAGCATCAACTGGATTAAGGCACTGTTACGAATGGCCTTTCAGCAATGTTCACCTGGGAATCTGAGATTCAATTAACTCAAACTCTTTTTCCAAAGTCCATTGTTTGTTTTAAACTAAGACATTTGGCAAACTAAGGCAGGAATAAAACCGTATTAAAACCAGGTAAAATGTACACCACACTCACTGCAATTCCAAATTTGATAGCTTTGTTGAGGGGCTAATGCTTGTCAACACTGTATCATTAGATAGCTACAAAAATCTGTTATTTTCTTAGGAGGAATTTCACCGCACCTGATTGTTCTGGAAGTCATAATCCAAAGAAAACTGCAGCTTCCCAAGTTTCTCCTCTTCCTTTTCTTCTTCCTTTCCTTCTGCAGTGAGGCCTGTCTCAACATCTTCATCATCATCCTTCAGAGCCTGTGGGTGGACAAGGCAAGTTAGAATACATTGCTACTTCCATTTGGTGGGAAAACAGTGTCTGACGTGGCTGACAAGCTACTACAAGCAGGCTGTAGATGATTTAATCTTTATAGCACAGGCAGAAGGTATAACTTTGCTGTGCTGTTGTTACTGGAGGCTTTGAAACCAGCAAGCAGCTTGTGCAAAGTGCACCATCCCGCAGGGTCTCACAGGCAAGGAATTTAAATTTACAAGCGCAATCTAAAGCTGTTGAGCATTTCAGCCTGACATTAAACCACCTCAAATGTTGCTGATATCCATTTATGAAAACTGTAGACTGAACATGCTAATAACAGGCAAGATGATACTAGTTTAGCAGAATTCAGCCCAGCTTTACATGCGGTAACTGCAAACAATGTGAAATTTGTACAACATTAATGCTCTTTTTCCTCTAAACAAAATTACAATCAATTTCATTCTGAGAAAGTTTTCAGTTTGTGGTTTCATCAATGGTTAGAGCTGGTACATGCTACCAGTTTAATTCTAAATAAAGCACAAATTCTACTTAAATACTGCTCCAGTTCACAATTTTTAGATTCAAACCAACTTGAGATTTTTTGGATAAAAGTCTCATGCTGTCAACCCACAGCAGTAGGACTGCAGCGGTTCAAGAAGGCAGCTCACCACCACCTTCTCAAGGGGCAACTAGGGATGGGCAATAAACTCTGGGCCCAGCCAGTGAGACCTACAAACTCTGAGTGAATAAAAAGAATTTCAGACACTAATTTTTTTCAAACTATTTTGTTATTTCCTCGCTTTGCTGTTGCTCTCTAGTGAAAAGTGACCACTACTTATTGAGAAACTCCAATGTAGAAAAATGGCCCAATAACTTTCTCAGAGTCTAAAACAAAACTAAAGGACAGACATTCATTTAAAAGGCATTTAATTATATTTTTGAAAGAATTGAAAAATCCAGGGTAGCTTGGTCAGTTTTAGATAAGGTTCTGCATCCATTACTGGCTGAGAATTTATAGAATAAAGACCATTATCCTTCAAATCAAAGTTGATTTAGCTCAAAAATATATGAAAGCCAAGCTATCTTCAGGAGAACTGGAATCGGTAAGGTAAGCTGGTTAAAATCTAAAAACAATGAGTATCTGAGCATTGAAAAATAACCTACCACAATGGACAATCCAGAACAGTCATGAGATAGAACATAGATAAGGAGGGACATAGAAGAAGAAATACAATTTATAAAGCCCACACACAAACAGTAAATAAGAAAAACTGGGCAAACATGGAGAAATGATCTCATTAAAAACAGCACAGCCAGCTCAATTACGGTTCACCTCAGTGTGCCAAATCTTTAACGTCAAACTTTCGCAAGTACTTTAGGTTGTTTTGGAGATCTTCGTCAGAAAGGTGAGTTCTTTGTGCACAATTTAATTGACTAGAAATGAATCGAAATGTAATCATGTGAATAGTTTTTGATGCACTGGTGGCAATTGTTAGATCATTAAATCAATTCTCCAGGTCCAACGACAGCAACAGTTCAGTAAGAAGTGACATTAGAGGATTTTCTGTACGTTAGTGTTTTCCAGAAAGACTTTAACAATCCAGTTTGTGTGATCAAATAACCATGAAAATATGTTCTCCCTCTCCAACACACATATCAGTGAAGACAAAAGCATTGGAAATATTTATCCACTTCCCACAACAAATATTTTCACAAGCAGACACATGGTCTTGAAGAGACATGACTGAAAATGTTCAGATGATTAAATTAAGTGCAGCGTCTAATTCCAGTTTTCCCTGAGAGTTTCAATCCAAACAGGCAACAGTTCCAACCAGCAATGTGACATCTGCTGACATTTAAAAATGCGAAGACTTCTTAAAGGCATCTTGAGAAATTCAGTTTCACTGATAGAAATTATTTATTTGAAAACAGGGGCCACGGGAGTTACAGTGGCTGGAAGGGAAAGGGAGTGATTGGATTTGGGTGGTGTCAGTAGCCAGACAACATAAGATCACAGAAATTGCTGGAAAAGCTCAGCAGGTCTGGCAGCACCTGTGGAGAGAAATCCGATTTCATTTCTGAAGAAGTGTTACTGGACCCGAAATGTTAACTTTGATTTCTCTCTACAGATGCTGCCAAACCTGCTGAGATTTTCCAACAATTTCTGTTCCTGTTTCAGATTTCCAGCATCCTCAGTTCTTTCAGTTTCTTAACGATAAGATCATCCTTCTACTAAAACTAGACAATACGAATGTCCTGTATCAGTATTAGCTTCTGTTTCTAAAGTGACTCTTATGTAACAAAACCTTCAAAAGTGCCGCAACAGGAGTATTGCCAAAATGTGGCATTTTAACAGGTGACCACTCCTGGCATGTTGCAGTGCCACCTCTACCAGTCTGTGGTACGGGGTAAAGGTTGCTCAAGGTAGTTCACTGCCACCAATCTTTTGTCTTTGCCTTGTCTTGCACCTATCTAGAGATTATTGGTTGGGGATAAAGCAGCGTAGAGTATCTACAGAAGAGGCTGTTCTTAGAGAACAAGATTCATTGCATGATACAATAAATACAACAATAGTTGGCCAGGTATAGTGACTAGCACCTTAGGGAGCTGGTACAGATACATCTGCTTTCTCCAAAACACAGAGGAGAACTCCTCATATCCACCATCACTGTGTTGATATAAGGGGAATAGGTAGATCATCATAACGTGACATTCAGGACATTACCTCATCCAACAAACCCAGATGAGGAGTCACTAGGACAGGTGATCACCAAAAAGCCTGGTTAATGGGTTAAACTAAGAGGGTGTCCTGAAGGAGGAGTGAGAATTCGAGAAATGGAAAGGTTTATGGAGAGAGATTTCTGCAGCTGAGGAAGTATTAAGACTAAGGAAATACAAGAACCCAGAATTGACAGAGAGTTCAGAGGGTTGTAAGGCTGCAGGGATCAGTAATTATTTGTTCATGTTAAATAGAACCCATTGCATAACATTTCAGCAATCTTGCCATGCCCAACATATTAACAGGGAGCATTATAATTCTCACTCCCTCCCATTTTTAAAATAGTTATAGAAAAGGATAGAACTGATCAAAAAGTTAAAGTTCTAAATTCTATAGGAAGGATGCTGTTAAACTTGAGAGGATTCAGAAAAGATTTACAAGGATGTTGCCAGGGTTGGAGGGTTTGAGCTTTAGGGAGAGGCTAAATAGGCTGGAGCTATTTTCCCTGGAGTATCGGAGGCTGAGGAGTGACATTATAGAGGTTTATAAATTCATGAGGGGCATGGATAGGGTGAATAGACAAGATCTTTTCCCTAGGGTATGGGAGTCCAAAACTAGCAGGCATAGGTTTAAGGTGACAGGGGAAGGATTTAAAAGGGAGTTGAGGGGTAATGTTTTCATGCAGAGGGTGGTGTCTGTATGGAAGGAGCTGCCAGAGGAAGTAGTGGAGGCTGGTAGAATTACAACATTTAAAAGGCATCTGGTGGTACGTGACTGGGAAGGGTTTTGAGGGGTAGGGGCCACATACTGGCAAATGGTCAGATTGGGATATCTGGTTGGCATGGACGAGTTGGACCAAAGGGTCTGTTTCCATACTCAATGACTCTATAACTCTCTGTTATAGTAGTATGACCTGCCTGTGAAATATTTTTCCTGTTTAATACTGTTACTGTAGGGTTAGCTGATAGAATCGTATCTCATTGTGAGATGTTGCGGAGAAGATGACATCACTGGACTCAACTCCATTAAGCCGTATCCTTTCTGAAGACCTCAAGCAATCAAATACTGAGCTCAGTTCGAACATATTTATTAAAGTGATTCATAGCTTGCAGCCAAAGAAATATCAGAGGCTATTCACAGTATTAGATCATTCAGTGATATGAATGAAGACACATTGTCAAAAATCAAAGATTTGGAAATATTGTTCTGAAGACTATGAGAAAATGGACCTACTGAATTCATTTAGTAAGGGCAACTAAGGTCATGTGTGTACTTAGTGCCCAGTGTGCAGAGGATGCAGATGCTTTGTGGACTTGCACTGGCACAAACATACGTACTAATATCACGTCCTCGCACAAGTGCACACATGGATGAAAGTGTGAGTAATGTATATACATTGTGTACCTGTAACTGCATTTTTGTGTGCATACATACGTATGTGTATTCATTTGTGTATATGTACGTATATGGTGTGTGTGTCTCTAAGTGTTTGTAGATCACATACGCAGAAACACACACACACACACACACACACACACGCGCACACGCACACGCGCACACGCACACGCGCACACGCACACACGCACACACGCACACGCACAGACACACAGCATAGAAATAGGCCCTTCAGCACAAACTGGTCCATGCTGGAGATAGTGTGGACGCAGGCCATTTGGCCCATTGAGTCCACGTGACCCTCCGAAGAGCATCCTACCCAGACCCACCTATCCCTGTAACCTTCCATGTCCCATGGCTAACCCACCTAGCCTGCACATTCCTGGACACTATGGGCAATTTAGCATGGCCAATCCACTTAACCTACACATCATTGGACTGTGGGAGGAAACTGGAGCACCCGGAGGAAACCCACGCAGACACGGAGAGAATATGCAAACTCCACAGACAGTTGCCCGAGGATAGAATTGAACCTGGGTCCCTGGCGCTGTGAGGCAGCAGTGCTAACCACTGAGCCACCATATTGCCTTACACGTACATTCACACACACTCACACAAACAGACATACACACGCATATGCACACATGCACAATTACACACATATGCGCACATGCACACTTACACACACACGCGCACACGCACATACACACTTACACACAGACATGCAGACACACACATTTATGCAGTTACAGGTACAGAATGCACATGCATCAGCACACACATGTTCATTGACAGACATGTGTACACACATTATAAACATGTGTTGTATGTGTACACACATTAAAAACCACTCGAGATTATTCCTGTTCCCCATTAACTGAGATGCCTGACAATGCACAGAAATAGCAGCACCTGCCTTGACCAGGATGCTTCAAGCACAGGTTTCCTGGCGTTTTAGCAGCACGCAGACCGTAGAATGGATTGGAGGCTGATAGAAACATCAGTAATGGAGAGCAATGCATGACAGCAGAGAGGGAGGGTGTGGGGTTAGGGAGAAGAGCACAGGGAGGTGGAAACATTCTGGAAAGAGATTTTCAAAACTGCCTTCATTTGTGGTCTCCAGCAGTGAGACATGCATGGAGAGCCATCGCAGAACTGTCCCAAAGAGATCTTCCCAGCATCTTATGTAGTGCCATTGCCAGTGCTCAAGCTGGCAGTCCCTCTGTTGGAATAAAATCTTTACAATGCGCCCCCCCCCGCTACCTCTCACCCCCACCCAACTCTTTCACTGGTTGTAGAACCAACACAAATCCTTCCTTGTGAAATAAGAACTGTGCAATGCAAGAAGGAACTTTAGCATCTTATCACAATATCAAAGTGCCTTGCATCCAAATGGATTACTTTTGAACATGAGAACCAATTTTTCCACAGATTGATCCCACAGATAAATGGCCCATTAATCTGTATTCTCATGTGCTGTTGATTGAGGTGGGAGTGTTGGGGACGCATTCTCCCAGTAAAACCAACGACTAATTTTGAACCGATCAGCACGGACAGATTGACATCAGCACCTCAGGCAGTGCAGTACTCCCTCAGATCAGCACTGGGAGCTTCTACGTGGATGAGATTTTCATGTCTCTGGACCAGGACTTGACTGACAAACCTTGCATCAGCCTGATTTTCCTTGTCACTCACAGGAAGGTGTAGTCTCCTTACAGCCCGAAGTAGTGGATATTCTTCCAAATGACAACAGCTTCAACAACCAGCAGTGATAAAATATACTGTAATGAAAGCATTTTTTCTTTAGTTCTCTACATACTGTAAGCTTGCACCCGTGGAAGTTGCATGATTCAAAGTACACAATGTTCCATTTAAAGGAGGTCATGCTGCAGTTGTAATGGACATTGGTTAGGCCACTTTTGGAATGCTACATTCAGTTCTGGTCTCCCTGCTACAGGAAAGTTGTTGTGAAATTTGAAAGGGTTCGGAAAACATTTACAAGAATATTGCCAGGGTTTGAGCTATATGGAGAGGCTGAATAGGTTGGAGCTATTTTCCCTGGAACATCAGAGGCTGAGGGGTGACCTTACAGAAGTTTACAAAATCATGAGGGGCATGAATAGGGTAAATAGTCAAGGTGTTTTCCCCAGGGTAGGGGAGTCCAAAACTAGAGGGCACAGGTTTAAGGTGAGAGGGGAAAGATTTAAAAGGGATCTAAGGGTCAACTTTTTATGCGGAGTGTGGTGTGTGTAAAGAATGAGCTGCTAGAGGAAGTGGTGGAGGCTGGTACAATTACAACATTTAAAAGGCATCTGGATGGGTATATGAATAGGAAGAGTTTAGAGGGATATAGGTCAAATGCTGGCCAATCATAGAATCCCTAGAGAGTTGGAACAGGCCTTTCAGCCCAACATGTCTCAACTGACTCACCCACCTACCCTATCCCTGTAACCCTGCATTTCCTATGGCTAATCTACCTAACCTGCACATCCATGGACACTATGGTCAATTTACCATGGCCAATCCACAAAATTTTCCGATCTTTGGACTGTGGGAGGAAACCGGAGCACTAGGCAGAAACTTACACAGACGCAGGGAGAACGTGCAAACTCCATACAGACAGTTGCCCGAGGCTGGAATCAAACCCGGGTCCCTGGCGCTGTGAAGCAGCAGTGCTAACCACTGAGCCACCATGCTATCCAAGCCAGCATGCTGCCAATTGGGCTAGATTAATTTAGGATATCTGGTCAGCATGGATGATTTGGACCGAAGGGTTTGTTTCCATGCTGTAGAGCTCTACGACTGTATCACTGTAATAGAAATGGAGCTTTTTGTGGGAGTCTTAGGCCAGTTACTCAAACCGGTTCAAGGGTCAGAGAACAGAGATTTGTCAAGGAGTTACCCAGGACCAAGGGAAGAGACCTTATGTTACTAAAGGACTGCTGTTAGCTTCCTCAACGTAACTGAAGTGCTGTTAGCACTGAGGAGCTGGCTGCTGATTGGAACCCTGTGAGAAGTGGGACAGTTCGGTGCTGCTGGGGGCCAAAAGAAACTGAGAAGGCAGTGGAAAACTGTTGGCTCCATGTTGCTGAGGTTTAGGGTTCCGAGAAGCTTTGGAAACCGTTGATGGCTCATCGCAGCTGACAAGTGAGGCTCGAAGAAGCCCACAAGCAGTATTTGCTTGGTGCCATTGGGGCAAATGGAGCCAATGCCAGCTCAATGAAGCTGTCAGCTAAAGAGTTGGAATTTTGCTGGTATTTACGTACTGGAGTGCAACCTCACAAATGTAGCCATCTCAGGATAAGAGACTGACCTACTGAGAGATGAGCCGACATATAATTTGGAGCAACTTGTCAGGGAATTCAGAGGCTAGAAGGACAAGTGATGGAATCCCTTGTGGGATAAATTTTTAATTTGGTTTTATAATATTCTGTGGTCCCTCAGAGATTCATTGAAGTGCATGCTTCTGGGCTCTCCCATTGCACCAATTTTGGGTTGAGATCTAACCAGCTTGGGGTAGCAGAGGTTTTTCCAGAGAGTTAGTGAAGTTAGTGAGTTAGTGAGATGTTTCTGAACCCATCAGCATTTTCTGAAGGTTTATGACATGCAGGAATTGTGAGGAGGCAGACAGGAAGGTGATAATCTCAAATATCAGCAAATGGGAAGTGAATGTGAGTGATGACCAGACTTCCTGAATGTTGGACCAAACAATGAGGCTCTTTCTCTGTATTGGTATGTTGATGTGGCTTCATGGCCTCCAGTAGACACAAGGGAACTTGGGAAGTCAACTCTTTACGTCACTTTTTTACAGGGCGTGGGCATTGCAGGCTGGGCGAGTGTTTATAGCCGATCCCTACCTATCCCTTGAGAAGGTCATCAGCAAACATCCCCACTTCTGACCTTATGATGGAGCAAAGGTCATTGATGAAACACCTGAAGACGGTTTGGCCTAGGACACTACCCTCAGGAACTCCTGCAGAGATGTCCTGGGGCTGAGATGACTGACCTCCAACAACCACAACGATTTTCCTACGCACCAGGTATGACTCCAACCAGCAGAGAGCTTTCCCCCTGATTCCCATTGACTCCAAGTTTGCTCAGCCTCCTTGATACCACACTCGGTCAAATATGGCCTTGATCACCTCCCTTCTGTTGTTGAATTACAAGCTTGACGGAAAGTTAAATGGATGGACTGAGTTAGTATGGACAACACATTCAGTGAATGCATATTTGAAATATTCATCTTCATTGGACTTTTCCATTCAAAGATGGCAGGGGATGATCGTTCTGCCTATTAAAGTACAGTAGTATATTTGAACTACAAATTGAGAAGATTCTTTACAGTCAAGTATTAAATTTTGAAATACTATCTTTAACTTTTTTTAATCAAACAAAACAAAACATTGAATTGATTATTACATACAAGTCTCTGAATAAGCAGGGACACCAGTCATTGACAATGACAAATCAATGATGAAGAGGGTTCCTTGCAGGCTCACTCCTCACCAGGTTGCTGTACTACGTTACCTGTTCTTTCACTGACTTCCCAAGCTCCTTCACATCTTTCATGTTCATAGCGTTCTTTCCTCCCTTTTCTTTCCCCTTCTTCTTGTTCTTTTTCTTCAACAGACATTTCTTGCAGACACAGAAGCAGCAGGTCAGAATCAGAACAACGGCAACAATTGCGATCGCTATCAACGCCCAGGGTGGCACTGCAACAAAACAAAAACCATCAACACAACCCACATCAGAGACAAAGGGCTTGCATTTCTGTAACACCTCACTGTAACAACAGGAGGAGGCCATTCAGCCCCCTTGTTCTGCCATTCTATTAGATCATGTGCTAGGACTGAGATGAGAAGGAACCTCTTTGCCCAGAGGGTTGTGAATCTGGAATTCCTTGCCCACTGAAGTAGTTGAGGCCACCTCATTGACTGTTTTTGAGGCAAAGATAGATTTTTGAACAGTAAAGGAATTAAGGGTTACATTGAGCGGGTAGGTAAATGGAGCTGAGTCCACAAAAAGATCAGCCATGCTCTTATTGAGCAGCAGAGCAGACTCGATGGGCCAGAAGGTCTACTCCTGCTCCTATTTCTTATGTTCTTGTGTTCATGTAACCCAAACTCTATATATCCACCATTGATCCAGTTCATTCAACACCCTGACTCTGCAACAATCTGACCATAAATCAAATCCCTGGTGATTCTTTGAAAGGACTATGCAATTAATTTGCCCGTTCCCTTCCTCTTTCCCCTTTCAGCATTTCCCAATTTCCTTTTGGAAGTTACTATGGAATTTGTTTCCACTACCCTACTTTAAGGTCTGCTCAGAATCACAACATCCCCATGGAGTAATAGCCAATTAAATTAAATGTGTCAAAATAAAAACAGAAAGAACTGCAAATAGTGTAAATCAGAAGCAAAAACAGAAGTTGCTGGAAAAACTCAGCAGGTCTGGCAGCATCTGTGAAGAGAAATCAGAGTTAATGTTTTGGGTCCAGTAACCCTTCCTGAGAAATTAAATGTATACTGACCCTCCTGCCACCGGGAAAGAATTCTTCCCATCCAAACCCTTCATAATCATGTTGACAATCTTGGTGTTGGTGAATTGCTAGTGACAGAACGAAAAGAGCCAAATAACTCACATTTAAGTAGAACCTTTTGTGGGTTTGGGCCATCCCTTTATGGTGTATTGCAACAAATGAAGTACTTTTCAGAATGTGGTTATTGTTGTAACATAGGAAATGCAGTTGCCAATTTGTGCATTGGAAGTTCCCACTAACAGCAATATTGTCAGACAGTCTGTTTTTGGTCACTGATTGAAGCATGAATACTGGTCAATGTAGCATGGAAAACTTCTCCTGTTCTTCGACATAGGATTTTAAAGGTAACCTTGAGAGGGCAGAGGGGACATTGGGTTAATGCCTCATTCAAAGACACCACCTCCAACAAAGCATCAAATCTTTCTAATTGGAACTGAGGGTGTCAATCTCATCTCAACCACCATCATTAACAACAGGCTGATCATTATCACCGATATAACAAGGTGTAGAGCTGGATGAGCACAGCAGGCCAAGCAGCATCAGAGGAGCAGGAAAGCTGATGTTTCGTGTCTAGACCCTTCTTCAGAAATCATTATCACCCTCTTGTCTTTGAAATCTTGCTGTGTGCACATAGATTATCATTTCTCTTACTCCAATGACCACAGGGTGGTGGTGGAGGGTCGCTTTTCAGACTGCAGGCCTGTGATCAGCAGTGTGCCACAGGGTTGGTACTGTGTTCACTTTTTTTTGTCATTTCTATAAATGATTTGGATGTGAACATAGGAGGAATGGTTAGTAAGTTTTAGAATACAACAAAATTGGAGGTGTAGTGGACAGCAAAGAAGGTTACCTCAGAGTACAACAGGACCTTGGATCAAATGGGCCGATAGGCCGAGGATTGGCAGATGGAGTTTAATCTAGATAATGTGAGGTGCTGCATTTTGGAAAGGCAAATCAGGGCAGGACTTACAGACTTAATGGTAAGGTCCTGGGGAGTGTTGCTGAACAAAGGGATCTTGGAGTGCAGGTTCATAGCTCCTTGAAAGTGGAGTTGTAGATAGATAGGATAGTGAAGAAGGCATTTGGTATGCTTGCCTTTATTGGTTGGTGCATCGAGTATAGGAGTTGGGAGGACATGTTGTGGCTGCACAGAACATTGGTTAGGCCACTTTTGGAATATTGCATTCAGTTCTGGTCTCCGTGCCTTAGGAAAGGTATTCTGAATCTTGAAAGGGTTCAGTAAAGATTTACAAGGATGTTCCAGGATTGGAGGCTTTGAACTGTGGGGAGAAGCTGAATAGGCTAGGGCTATTTTCCCTGGAAGGTCAGAGACTGAGGGGTGACCTTATAGAGGTTTATAAAATCATGAGGAGCAGGGATAGAGTGAATAGCCAAGGCCTTTTTCCCAGGGTAGTGGAGTCCAAAACTACAGCATATAATTTTAAGGTGAGAGGGGAAAGATTTAAAAGGGACCTAAGGGGCCACTTTTTCATCTGGAGGGTGGTGCATGTATGGAATGAGCTGCCAGAGGAAGTGGTGGAGACTGGTACAATTACAACATTTGAAAGGCATCTGGATGGGTATATAAATAGGAAGAGTTTAGAGGGGTATGGGCCAAATTGGACTAGATTAATTTAGAATATCCGGTTGGCATGGACAAGTTGGACCAAAGAGTTTCCGTGCTGTACAGCTCTATGACTCTAGGACTTCAAAAATACTTCATTGCTTGTAAAGTAGCTTCGGATATTGTGGGACTGCGAAAAGTGATAAATGCAAAAGCTCTTTCAGTTTCCTTTCAAACAATTGCCAAATTGAACTGTCTGAAGTGCATCATTCAATAAAATACCAATAACACCCTGTGATGCACAAAATCATTACTGTGTGCATGTGTTCCTAATAATCACGTCAATTTATTGACAATCTCTCTAGCAGTTAGGAATTCACATTTTGTATTTACTTTTATTTGGTGTGTTAATCTTATTGAAGTAGTGAATAATACCTTAGCAGCTGGGGTTTAAGAATACAAGAAATATGAGTAATCAACCATGCAAACCATCAAGTTTACCCTGTTGTACAATAAGATCAAGGCTGCTCCTTCCCAGGCCTCAACCCCTCTTTCCTGCTAACCCATGATTGGGAGCAGAGAGTAGGTGGTCTGATTAGTAACTTTGTAGAAGACACAAAGACTGGGGGAGCTGTGGATAATGAGGAGGTTTGCCAGAGGATACCGCAGGATATAGATAGGCTAGAGACTTGGGCAGAGAAATGGCAGATGGAGTTTAATCTGGACAAATGTGAGGTGATATATTTTGGAAAATCTAATGCAGGAGGGAAGTACACAATAAAAGGCAGAACGCTCAAGTAGCATCAAAATATAGAGGGATCCACAGTTCTCTGAAAGTGGCAACACAAGGGGATAAGGTGGTCAAGAGAGCATATGGCGTAAAAACAGAAGTTGCTTTTTTAGTTTAGAAAGGTGTATTGTGTGTGTGGGCTTCGTGTGCTGCAGTGTTCTTTGTTCTTTATTCTCAGCATAGCCCTAAACTCTCCAATGGACAGGAAAAAATAGGAATAGGAGCAAGCCACTCGGTCCCTCAAGATCTGTCCTGCCAGCATTTTGCAATCTGAGGTTAGTCATTAAGGATCAGGTCAGGTCAGAAAGCAAAACATAGTCTGCTGAAAACAGTTTTATCTTTTTTTTTATTGAGCAAAATGTTTTGTTGAGAACTGGAGAAACTTCACAGAGAAAGGACCAGTTTTTAATTGTTAGGATGATTGTATTTTTTCTTTCAAAGTATGTGTACTTAACTGATGGGATTTATTGACCATCCCTAATTGAGTGGCTTGTCAGGGCTACTTTGGAGGGCAAGTAAAGAGGAGCTCACATTGCCATGGGGGTAGTAGGAACTGCCAATGCTGGAGTCTGAGATTACAAGGTGTAGAGCTGGATGAACACAGCAGGCCAGGCAGCATCAGAGGAGCAGGAAAGTTGACGTTTTGGGTCTGGACCCTTCTTTAGAAAGGTCCTGACCTTAAACCTCCACTTTCCTGCTCCTCTGATGCTGCCTGGCCTGCTGTGTTCCTCCAGTTCAACACCTTGTTACTACATTGCTGTGGGTTTGCAATCACATGTAGACCATACTGGGTAAGGATGGCAGAGTTCCTCCTCTGGGAGACGTTTGTGAATTGGATGCTTTCTTCACTGAGACTAACTGTATGTTCAGGATTTCACTAATCGCACTTAACCTCCACAGCTGCCAGGCTGGGATTTGCATCCTTGTCCTCAGGGTATTAGCCTGGGTCTGAATTATCACACTAGTAATATTACCACTTCATCACAATCTCCACTTAAATTTCAGTTTTATTGCTTGAATCAGTTGTAAAGACCATATCTTATTATTTTTGATTGTGGATTGAAATGGGAAAAGGACTAGTTTAAAAGTAAAGGATTATTGAAGAATTGTTGCACTTTTTCAAAGCAGCTTATTGATACTCATAATAAGTTCTGTTTACACAGCTGCTTGTTCAAAGCCTATGGGGAAAGACTAGTTTGCAGACAACCTGGATCCCAGTGTTGCTATGAACGTGGTTTAGGCCAGCAACAAGTAGCTGATTGGTCTGTAGGCTAATGACCAATTATTGATGACAAAGGCCAACTGCTATGGGATTAGCTCTTAGCTAGCTGAACATTTTAGGGGTGTGAATGTTTTGGCAGAAACCATTGATTCTCCAGAGGAGAAAAAACTATTTTTGCTCTGTAGGAAAAAGCATTTCCAGCCTGAAGATAGCCAGATTATTTCTGCTTTCCAGTTGTAGAGAGCTGTGACTTTAATTGATACGCCAATATGTGTGAACCAGTCACTCTGTCCCCTATAGATGAGTACCTGGAAAAGGAGGATCAGGAAGCAGTGTCTGATCAGAGAAACTATCATCACAACACACCCTGTGGGCAGGGGCCAGTGACTGGCCTTCCCAGTTTCGCCCTCCACCCATAATACTCATGCTTTTGCCCTGTCTGTGAATGCGCGTGTGTGTACACATGTGTACGTATGTGAGTGTCTATGAGTGTGTGTGTATGTACACATGTGTGCATATGTGTGTGTGTGTGTGTGTTTGCATGTACGTGTGCACATGTGTGTGCATATGTGAGTGTCTGTGAGTGTGAGCGTG